TCACTTAGCCTATAGGGAGCCAATGTTGTAGCGTTTCGTCGGTGGAGATGAAATAAGAATTGTATATGTAATAAATATCATCAGTGAGTTAAGATGAAAGAATGATTTCCGTGGTTATTCGAGGGCATAGGCCTGTTTTGGGTAAGGATATGAATGAGACGCCTACTGTCTCAAGGGCAATTTCATAAATACCCATTTATTTACATTTCGACAAAAAGAACATTTGTCTGACGGAATGTTTACTGGTGACAGCGGCCAAATTAACGTAACATACTTCAAGCATTAACATTAATATAATTGACAATATACCGTAATTGATAAAGCTATATGATACGATAGCAAATTCAATATCATACTGGAAATTAAGGGTATCATAGTAATTAATGGAATTATGTGGAATTATAGGCAAAAATTTAAGAGAAGAGAATTTTTATTTATTTATTTTATGTATTTATTATAAATTCGACACTTTAACAGTATAATAGGCCTAGAGAAATACAAAAAAGTGAAGACTCTAAACCGCTGAACTAAAAAATAATATACATTAAATACATGTCTATAGGAAAATTAACAGTATCAAGAAAACAAAAAAGAATTTTACATTATAACTTTTCGACATTTTCGTCGCATTTTTTCAGACAGGCCTAATTACTCTAGGCCTACGTCGAAAATCAAAAATCGAAAATCAAAAAGCCCAAAATCGCATCAAGCATCGTCCTGTAACGAAAAGTTCTTTTTTCATTTGTATAAAAAAATATATATGCCTGGTTTATACGGTCTATGGTATGCCATGATACTCGCCCTGATAGCGACGCGAGGCGCTGCAGCTTCTAATCCTGATATGATACAAGGGTAACGCTTAATACTATAAGGACAGGGGCGTAGGGTGGTTCCCATCTGGGGAGTGCGAATATTGTAAATGCGAGATCAATGTCGTAACGAAGGGGCCGAAGATCCCGAGCCTGGCGTTGGGGGCCCGGTGGTGGGCGGGGGCGAATACCCCAGCCGCTCCGGTGTTAGTAGCGTTTTGTGATGTATTTCAATGTCTTTTTTGGCACAATTAGGTTCCTAATTTTGTATCGTGATTAGACAAAATAAGCGTAATATAAGCCTATTGTAATTAAGATAATACTTTGTTCGTCTGTATTAAACTTAATTTCTTGTTACACACTCTTTCATTTTTATATTATATAATACAAATTGCATGTGTTATTCGTATTATTGAAAAGATTACACAGAATTATGAAAGTAATTGAAAAATTAATGTCGGCGTCATTTGATGTATCGTTAAAATCATGATAATATTTAAAACCCATTAATACACATTAGGCTGTTGCTTCGACTATACATTTCCCTAATACTGTATGCTATATGTTCTGTACTGTACGGAAGAATGCTGTTTAAGACGGTATTTTTTTTTACTTTGACAGAGTTTGACGCAAACGTCAATGAAATTTGATAACTCCAACGATCTACCCTTTTTTTTCACATTTCCCCATGTTTTTAAATATTCCAAAAGCTATACCGGTATCTCATTAACCGCTTTTTATCTCATTAACCAAGTTTTTTTTGTCAAAGTTTAATAAAATTAAGATGTCTGTATTTCTATTGGCAATCATGTATTTATTATCTAAATTTTGTCCTTTTGAATTGTATGTTTTAAAGCTATTTTATATAAATACATTTCCGAAATAAAGAAATGAATGTACAAATCTACTGTACGTTTATGTTTGTCTTGTGTGGTGCATCCCACTTTTATTTCATATAATCAATCATTCTACAAAACAAAGATGAAAATCTTAACTAAATGCAGTACGATATTGCAAATTGCAATATTTATTTGCCGTAATAATTTCAATTTCAAGCGTTTTTTTTTTCATTGTTATTGTTATTCAATTAGAAAGATACAACGTCTATCTCAATTGATGTCATGCAGTCCCATGCACTTTCATGTTTTTGTTTTTTGTTTTTGCAAATTTTCCATTGTAGTACTGAGCAGGGCTAGGTTTAGGTTTATCTGGCTCTAAAGCAGAGTACGCATTACAATTAATTATTTCACTTTCGTCTCATTTTGTGAGGGCGTGTATCAGTTGTTGAAGAAGAGTGTCTGGTTGTATTGCATCTGCGATTTACTATTGGGCCTGTCAGCAAAAATTTGGTCCGGGGCCAAAATCGGTCCGCCGGACATTTTTTTTTTTACCCGGACCAATTTCGGCGTGACAGGCCCTTGTGTTGCCACTCGCCTGAACAGCGAGAGAGATCGCGCGTTCAATTCCCACCTTGGAACTTGTTCACGCAAGCACTTTTTCTACCATTACTTGATCATTTTTGAGATATCGTTTAATTCATAATATCGTACTATATATTATATTATTATTGTATTAGATACTAGCTTCTGTTCTGTTATTTCTACTTTCTCAGATGTGTATAAGAGACAGATGCAGTCCCATGCACTTTCATGTTTTTGTTTTTTGTTTTTGCAAATTTTCCATTGTAGTAC